CTACCATAGCACATACTAGATATATGTTTACATAGCGTTGTATAGACACATGTCATCTTAAAATGTAAACACGAAATAAAACACATTTTGCCCTGTGACATCTGTTTTTATATTATATGTTTATATTTATGAACACACATTTACACACTTTTTTTTTTCTTTCATTTTTATGTACTAGGCTATATGGTATATTTTATATGGTATACTTTGTTATTTTCTCTTGATTGCACACTTGAATTATCATTAGTAGTTATTGGTATATGACAAGTTTTGGTAATAAAATATGCTTTCTTGCAAAATAAATTAAACATGCATCAGTCAGTACTTTCTACTTTCTAATTAAGTACATAAAAATTCAAGCACGTTTGTACCTTTACTCAAGTAATTGAAAATGAGTCCTTAATGATTTTACTGGAGTAATATTTTATTATGATAACTTTTACCCAAGCACTTGATTTGTGTACTTCGTCTACCACTGTATGCGTGTCGATCATCGTTGACTTTCAAAGGAGGGGCAAACCTCTCACATTTCGTTAAAATATCTTAATTTGCAATCTGAAGATAAACCAAAGTCTAATGGTTTTGTAACAAAATGAGGGTGAGTAAATGATGGCAATGTTTTCGTTTTGCTGGGTGAACTGTCTCTTTAAAGACAGAAAACACTACACGACTTTTGCCCAGATTTACAGTCTGGAGGAGTCGACGCTGGTTGTCGAAAATCAGAAGAAGTCTGCAGATATTAGGCATGCAGAGTTGATAGATTTAACAGAAAATAGCATAGTGTATGATGGGCATACATTCTCATTGTTTAGCTTCAGACTACAAATCCGTTCAGTCAAGTCACCTTTATTTATATAGCACTTTAAACAATAAATATTATGTCAAAGCAGCTTTGCAGTGTGAAACAGGAAAACGTGTGTTGATAATGCAAAATAGAAAACAGCCAATTTTTCAGTTAAAGTCAGTTCATCATTGATTCAGTGATGTCATCATCCAGCTCAGTTCAGTTCTCTTCAAATAGTGTCTGCGCAATCAAGTCAACAATATTGGCAGAAATTGTGTCCCCAACTAAGCAAGCCAAATAATAGTCAGATAATATAAAACATGTTTGATATTTTCAGTCGATTTTGGAACACATTTATATTTTTTTTTAATTGATTTGTCATTTGTCTCCTATCAATGTGGTGCATGTTTCTCTGTGTGTTTTTTGTGTTCAGAATGACTTGAAAGTTTAGTGTATCATCCCCAGTTCTGCTTCAAGGGAAATCGAACTGCATCCTCTAGTGGACACTATGCAGAATGCCATCAGCATGACCGGTGTCTGAAGCACGTGTTAAAACACTCCATTGGACCGTGCAGCCCATGACATCATTAGCGGAGCACACGGAAATATAGGAGGGCACCTGCATCGCACGTCATCAACTTTCTTTGTCTTCAGGAGCCGTTTGTTTGCTCAGTGTTTGTAGAAACATCATGGAGAAAAAGTCTAGCGAACGCTTTAGGAAGTGTGTGCCTTCGTGTCTCAAACACGACCTTTGTGTTATGTGTCTCAGAGAGAAGCAAACGTGTTTAGTGCTTGAGGGCACTGAATTCGCTCACTGTGATAGGTTTCCGATGAAAAAGCTCCACTCATGCTTGTCCCTAGTCTTGAGGGATGTGGGACAGGAGTCTGCGTCTCGCAGCTCAGGTCCCACTGCTGCTGAGGCACGGCGGAACCTCAGGTTGAGGGGTTCACAGGTTGACCTCACTGAGAAGTTTGAGAAGGGTTTCGATCTTTCTAGATCTACCTTGGACTCGAGCAATCTGAGGGATCCGGATGATCGCTTGCTCGAGTCATTTCATCCTGCGGATAGCACTTTGCTGGCTTCATCCAGTCAAGATGAGGAATGTGGATGTGCTTGGTGATGATGGTGAGAGTGTGGCAGACTAGTGGCAGACGCTTTTTGATGGTCCATGATCGTCCTTTCTCCCTGATCTTCATACCGAGTTAGAGAGATCGTGGGCGAAACCATATTCAGCTCAGCTACATCTTTTCCACCATGCAGACTATGCTAATGTGGAGGGAATGGCTGAGCACAGATATGTGAAGATGCCCCCGTGGAAGAGACGCTTGTGGACTGTTTCTCCCAGGGTGAGTCATCTTATTTGAAGGCTCCTGTCCTGCCATCCAAGCTGCTTCAGACAACCTCGTCTTTGAATGGCAGGGTGTACGTGGCAACAGGGCATGCCAGGAGGCTTTGCACAACATGGCTTTGCTGCAAGCTTACCAAGCAGACCTGCTTAATAACCTGGATGTCGATAAAGGTTTACCCCCTGAAGAGGTCGAAGAGTTGCACCTTACTACGGATTTGGTTCTTCGTGCCACTAAGCAAACTGCTGCTGCTATAGGGCGAGCAATGGTGGCAATAGAGGGCTCAGAGAGATATCTGTGATTGAATTTAGCAGAAGGAGAAAAGAAAAGAATTTACTCCTGCCCCAGAAGTATTTTCAGTCGCTGCTTACATCAGGCCCTGAGGCTGAACTAATGTAATTGGTGAGGTTTGCCTACATTTGCGAACCACCTGGTGATGGTCCAGTCTCTCCCCTGAGTTGTGAGCTTTATTCTTACCAAATATTTCAGAAAGCAGGGTCGGACTGCCTCCCCAGTTTTCTAGGGTTTTTAAGTAGGTGGTCCCCCTGAAGTTTCTTTTTTTTAAATGTTAGACTGCCTCCCCTGATTTCAAGCAGGCGGTCCCCCTGAATCCCACATTCTTTGATTGTGCAGTCTCCCCTGTGTTAGGGTTTCAAGTTGGTAGCCCATTGCCTTTAGGAACATAGTTGTTTGAGGACAGTTGTGTTCCCAACTTGACTGAATGGGATGTCCCTCCTTAATATTAGTATCGGTTGGGTTCCACATTTCCCCTAAGCTGTTTTGCTGTCTGGAGCATCGTTGGTGTGCACCATGGCATGGCATAGTAGGCATTTCATTTCCCATAGTGGCTACTAGAGGACACAGTGCATTTTCCCTTGAAGGGGAACATCTCGGGTTACACCTGTAACCATGGTTCCCCGAGAGGGATCAAGACACTGTATCCCCTTGCCATGCCTTGGGCCTGCCTGTTTCACGTTTCCTTCAGACAAAGAAGTTGATGACGTGCATTACAGTTGTCATCTCATACTTCCGGTTGCTCCGCTAATGACTTCACGAGCTGCGCGATCCAATGGATTCGGAGTGTTTTCCACGTGCTTCAGACACCAGTCATGCTGATAGCATTCCTCCTAGTGTCCACTAGAGCAGTGTTTCCCAACCGAGGTGCCGTGTAAAAAATAATTTTTTAATATTTTTAAATTGCTAAAATTTTCAAAAAAGCATCTATTATATAATATCCATTTCTGATGTCGCCGGACACAGATTCTCATTCCTTCTCGGGGAACCATGGCTACATGCGTAACCTGAGACGTTTCGCTTTGTGATACTGTAAATTGTATTTTAAAATATGTTCAGATTTTAAAAGATGTGTAGTGTTTTCCAGAATGCAAAGATGAAGATTGCATGTTCTGGCCTGCAGTGGAGTCTGACAGGTGTTCAGTAAAACCGCCTGAAGACTGCCATCATAACACTCCCAGTCAAACCCAGCAGTCACCGCTAAAACAATGTAATACTTCTGACAGGTATATTTATATAAAGCTTTTCTGCTAATGCCTGTAATAGGGTCATTGTTGAAATTATAGTGATTACAGATGGCATTTTACCTTTTATGACTTGGCCTCAGCCTCGTTGTGCTTCAGATGAATTAAGAGATTACTGTAATCATACCCTGTTTTACCAATGCCAGGTAATTGGGAAAGCCATGCATGCCTAAGCCTGCGGCCAATGAACAGTAATTGGACGTCTGAGACATTCATTACAAAGTTACAACTGCTGCATGTGTTCACTGATCAAAGACAGAATTTAACGACAGATTTAAAATTTACATGGAAAACTTAATTTTGAAAGTTTATTGTTGCCCTAATGGTTTCATTGTTGCTATTATTATTATTATTATTATTATTAGTTTATTTATTTGTATATATAATACAAGGCAATGTTTCAAATACAAAGTAATGCCATTCCTCTTAATGCAATAATGTTGGCCTGAGAGGTGAGTGTAATAGATAACAGTACACATTAAATGTGTACTGGATATATAAATAAATAAAAATACATACCAATATTATATTTTATGAAACGGTTGCTTTGTGACTTAGTTTGAAGCCATTAAATACCTAAAATACGACTGAATCATTATTTAAACACATTATCATGGCAATTTGTAACTATTTTACACTTTGGTGAATTAGTGGCTAATTTGTATGATCTCATTGGTATGTTTTCGTATGGGTGGAACTTCATGCTTACTTTTTTTTTCCTAGTTTGTGCTAGGAAATGGATATGTATTGTGGCATTCAGGACAAAGCCTGCTGACCAACTGGCTGTTGTCGCATTTATTTCTGCTGTGTGATAGGTAGACTAATACACATTGAGTAAAAATGAGTCTATCACTGTTATCGACATAAATTTTATCACACATGATATTTTATCTCAATATGTTATAGTTTATCACTAGTGGACACGGTAGTTTTAATTATAGTTGACAATATTTGTGCCTTTACTTGTGGTCACTGTAATGTATTTCCTTATGTGGCATATAAAAAATAAATAAAATTCTGAAATGGTGAAAATGAACATTTTCTCGTCTTATTTTCTTATGCATCATTATAACTGCATGAAAAGGCACTGAATGTAATTTGGATATAATAAATGGCATTTTAGAGGTGAATTCCTCTTAGACTGTGCATCTCGCTGACCCTAAAGTCCCAAGCCTAGACATTGATGAGTGACACTGATGAATCATCAGGCACAATCCAATATCTGCTGTCCAAGGAGTGTCACCTCAAACTTTGAGTCACACTCAGGATGTGGCATCCTGGTGCAACATTCCCTGCCAGTAAGCTAAGAGGGTGCACACAAAAACACAAACCTTGACTTTTGGAGGGTTCATCCAGTGATGTCTCATAATGCTGCTGGCCGTCATGTTGCTCGGCAGAATGACCACATCATTGTTACTGTCTCTGCATGACAACTCACACTCCTCTCCTGAGAAAAACAGACAGAGAACATAAGTCCACAGTTCATGTAACATCTTGAACATTGCATAACATCTTTCTTTAGTGTTTGAAGAGAACTGCTAAACAGTTTGTCTGCTCATCACTAAGGCCATTACAGGCAATGACACTTCAATATAGTTTAATGGACACTTCTTCCAGTTTAACCATGTTGAGGTCTGACAGTTACAGCATGTCTTCTGATGAAGATTTTGTAAATTATTGAGTTCTGTCTCTAATACTTTACTGTGACAGTATACTGTGTATAGGAGATTGCAGCATCAATTTTAGGGTAGAAGTCACATCACATTTAACTAAAAATGAAAATAAATTCTACTCTGCATCGAAACAATTAAGCCTATGTTGCATAATAACATTGTTTTCATTGCAACAACATTGATTACAAACGGTACAAAAAAATAATCATCATATGTCAAAACTAGCATTTGAAATTTTGGGGTTGATAAGATTTTTTTTATATATATGTTTTTGAAAGAAGTCACCAAGGCTGCATTTGTTTGATAAAAAACAAAAAACAAACAAAAAAAAACAGTAAAAACTGTAATATTTTGAAATATTATTACATAGCTTGCCATGTGAATATATTGCAAAATTGTATTTATTCCAATGATGCAAAGCTGAATTTTCAGCATCATTACTCCAGTCTTCAGTGTCACATGATCTTTCAGAAACCATTATAATATGCTGATTTGCTGCTCAAGAAACATTTCTGATTATCAATGTTGAAAACAGTTGTGCTGCTTCATATTTTTGTGGAAACTATGATGCATTTTCAAAGATTATTTGATGAATAGAAAGTTCCAAAGAAAATCATTTATTTAAAATAATCTTTTGTTACATCATGAATGTCTTTACTGTCAACTGATCAATTGAATTTGTCCTTTTTTTGAAGTCGTATTCATTTCACGAGTTCACTCTGCAGATAATAAATCGGACTAAATGGTATGCATATTTTTGGTGTGCTGTCCGGGGAGAGGACTCCGAGCTCGGAAATTTCTCCCAAACCCAGAGTACTCCCCCCTGTTGGGGAGAGGGCTCCGAGCTCAGTATTTTGCCAATACCCAGAGCTGAGAGGATAGACGATGTGATTGCTGATAAAGAATTGGCCAGGTTAATTATCTGTATGAGCTCCTCCCAAACTTTATTAATAAAACATCATTTAATCCCCCCGCCCAAAAAAAAAATCTATTTATTTGCTTGTATCACAATAATGACTTCCATTTTTCATGAAAACAACTCTATAGTATTCTATATCCAAAATATAATATAAAACAGTAGTTCCCTTTCGAGTGGGAACTCGTGCTGCGTCCCCTAGAGGGCGTTATGGGGAATGCCTCCGGCATGACTGGTGTCTCAAGCATGAGTCTAAACACGACAATGAACTTGACATTGGCAGGAGGCAGCCTATGAATTCACAACTGGTGAGGTCCGAGAGTATAAAAGAGAACCTGTGAAATACGTAAATTTCTTTCTTGTCTTCAAGAGACTGTTTGTTTGTACATGAGTTAGTAGCGCGCATTTAGCTCCTGAGGGAGCAGCATGAGCGCATTGAAAGGATTTCTCAATGAAAGCTTTGTTAGCACTGTCCCTGTTATGGGACGGAATGTGTGACAAAGTTTTGGGTGGAATGCTGTCTTCTCTACGAGCAAGCTGGATAGGCTAGGTATGATGCATTCACGAGACTTACTACAAGAGGTAGGAACTTCTTCCTTTCTGCTCTCTCTAGAGGGACAGTAGTTAGTGTTTGCACGAGCACGTTCGGCTCGGCATTTGCGTCTGCGGTCCCGTATGACCGCCATTACTGTGAGGCGGGATTAAGCATGGGGGTTATAGGCAGAGCATGGATGAGTCAAACAGGAAGTTTTCCTTTTTTGGCTCCTCTTGTTGACTCAATTAACACTGTTGTTCTTTATGTGTCGAATTCTGAGGAATTAGAGACAGAAAAGTGCTGTAGTTAGGTAGTGGCCTAAGTTGTTAGGCTTCCTCCATCCTTGACTTTAAAAAGTAGTCATGCTGAGTCTTTCGTTTCCAGAGCTCGGTTTCTGTTTGCTAAGTTGCTAGGCTCTTTGTGTGCCTTCTTGGCCATTGTGAGCATCGTCAGGCCTCCTCTTGTAAGAGAGAGTTATCTTTATTGTGTTACCTCTGCTCGCCAGAGCTCCACTAGGACATAATTTTGCAGGTCCTTGCACGTTATCCAATGCGAGGGGCGTAGTTAGGCCTCCTCTTGTTTTAGAAAGCCGTCATGCTGAGGCCTCTGCTCCTAGAGCTTGGCCATCTTCTGCAAGCATCGTTAGGCCTCCTCTCGCTACAGAGAGTTATCTTCATTGAGGTCTCCGCTTGCCAGAGCTCCACTAGGGCAGCATCTGTGAGTTGTAGGCTCTCTGTGAGCCTCTTTACAAGATGTCCTGAATTTGGGTGTAATTAGGACTCCTCTCATTTTTGAGAGTCGTCATGCTATGGCCTCCACTCCTAGAGCTTGGCCATCTACTGTGAGCATTGTCAGGCCTCCTCTCGCTACAGAGAGTTATCTTCATTGAGGCCTCCACTCGCCAGACCTCAGCAAGGACAGTATATGTGAGTTGTAGGCTGTCTGTGAGCCTCCTTACAAGATGTCCTGAGTGTGGGGCATAGTTAGGCCTCCTCTTGTTTTAGAGAGTCTTCATACTGAGGCCTCCGCTCCTAGAGCTCTACTATCTACTGTGAGCATCGTCAGGCCTTCTCTCGCTACAGAGAGTTATCTTCATTGATGCCTCCGCTCGCCAGAGCTCCACTAGGACAGCATCTGTGAGTTGTAGGCTTTCTGTGAGCCTCCTTACAAGATTTCCTGAGCGTGGGGCATAGTTAGACCTCCTCTCGTTTTGAGAGTTGTCATGCTGAGGCTTCCGCTCCTAGAGCCATCTACTGCGAGCATTGTCAGGCCTCCTCTCGCTACAGAGAGTTATCTTCACTGAAGTCTCTGCTTCTAGAGCTTGGTTAGGTGGTAGGGTAGTATGCTAGGATGTTAGGCTCTCTGGGAGCCTCCTTGGCTACTGGCCTTAGAATGGAGTGCTGCTAGGCTGCCTCTCATTTTTAGAGGTGTTGTATTTAGGCCTCCACTCTGCAGAGCTTCGCGGGCCAGTTAGCTCTGAGTTTTAGGCTCTCCATTCTTAAGAAGCTCTGGCTTAAGATTGTGTTGCTGGTGCAGGGGTGAGGATTAATTTGGGTCTTTGACTTAGTTCAGCCAATAAAGCACTCAGAATGGCGGCGTGGGTATACCGTTCCGCATAGCACCCTCTAGGGGACACAGTGCGAGATCCCATTCGAAAAGGAACGTCTCGGGTTACGCATGTAACCATGGTTCCCTGAGAAGGGGAAGGAGATGATGCGTCCCTTTGCCATGCTTTATGAATTCCTGCATGTCTACTTCAGACAAGAAGTGGATGACATATTTCACAGGTGCTCTTTGATACTCTCAGCCGCACCAGTTGTGACATCATAGGCATAGGTCTGCCATTGTCAAGTTCATTGTCGTGTTTAGACTCATGCTTCAGACACCGTCATGCCAGAGGCATTCCGCATAGCACCCTCTAGGGGACGGAGTGTCTCGTTCCCCTTCTCAGGGAACCATGGTTACATGAGTAACCTGAGACGTTCTTCACCCCAGAAAAGGGTTACAACCACTGGTATAAGCATTTCTGTCATGGATTTCCGAAACATATATCAGTACTAACTGTTCTGATGATATACTGCCAAATTTGAGATCATTTTTTATCTGAAAATCTGAATTCTGATGGTTTCATCAGGCTGAACAAAACACACAAGTGCACAACCAAAAGCATAAATTCTATCCCAACATAAAAAGTAACCTACACGGCACTGAATGAATCTGAAAAAGAAATCGGTCTCTCTGTGCAATGCACAAGTTTGCGGTAAGAGTTTGTACCTATGCCATGGCCTTTCTTGCAGCTGACATGGATGCTGGGATGCAGGTTCTGAGGTAGAGAGCATTGACCCTTCAGCTGAGGGCATAAGCGGAAGCTTCCGGTCCAGTTCCCATCCTTTCTGCAGTGGATGACATTGGTGCCGTGCCCCTGTGGAGAAGGCAAAACACATTTTACAGCATTCACTACGACATTCTAAACGAACAGCCAGTGGAAAGAACAGATAAAGACATGCATGTCTATAAATACCAAATTAAAGAGTTCTTTATTTTTGTCATGATTTACACTTGTCAAGTCAAGACACATTTATTTATATTCCATTTTATACAATACAAATTGTTTCAAAGCAGTTTCACAGTAATAAACAAGAAAATAACAGTATTAATGTAATGGAACAAATGCAACTTCAGTTGTAAAGAAGCTCTAAAAACTACATTTCAAAAGACTGGGGTCATTTTTTAATGTTTTTGAAAGAAGTATCTTCTGCTCACCAAGGCTGAATTTGTTTGATCAAAAATGCAGTAAAAACGGTAATATTATGAAATATTTTTACTATTTAAAATAACTGTTTTCTATTTGAATATATTGTAAAATGTAATTTATTGCTGTAATAAAAGCTGAATTTTCAGCATCATTACTCCAGTCTTCAGTGTCATATGATCCTTCATAAATCATTCTAATATCCTTATTTGCTGCTCAAGAAATTATTATCAGTAATGATAACGGTTTATATTTTTGTGGAAACCATGATACATTATTTTTCAGGATCCTTTGATTAAAAGAAAGTTCAAAAGAACAGCATTTATTTATTTATTTGAAATCTTTTGTAACAGAAATGTTACTGCAGCTTGTATTGTAGTAATTTTCTGAAACTTTTGATCAATTTATTGCATCGTTCCTGCATACAAGTATTAATTTCTTGTCACTAGTATTGATTAATGTCACTGATATATGTCATTAAGCATATAAGCCGACTGTCTGCTTAATGTCTGCTAACACTTGGATTCCCAACACACGTTCTATTGACTTTGAGTAACTTTGCAAGTAACAGTCTATTAATACTCTAATGAGAGATAGTTGACATGTAGTTGCAAAGTCACTAGTTATCCTACAGTAAGTCGTACCTCTTTGCATGTTGGTTGTCTCAGCGTGTTGTTGGCCCCGTTGCAGTGGATCCAGCAGGTGCTGTCGAACTTGAAGCCGTCTGTGCACTGGTACATGCCATAGAAGACAGATGGAGGAGGTGGACAGGTGACCGGCTCACATGAGCCCTCTAACCAACGGCCGTCTTCTGTACACTGACGCTTGAAGGCTCTCCTGTAGGGACCAAGACATGTCATATGCTGTGATACCATTCATGTCAAATTTCATTTTGATAATAAAAGACAACTCCATTTTCGTTTAACCATGCATGCTGTGTGGTTGTTGTTGTGTTTTTCGGTCCCTGTTTTGATTTGTGGATGGATGTATGTATGCGCACCTCTTTGGCTTGTTGGCCACATGGTATCCTAGTTTGCATTTGTATTTGCAGAGGGTGCCCACTTTAAGACCCGTCTCATTGCAGCGTTTGGTCTGCAGCACGGCACTGGGCACGGGAGGCGGTGCAGAACAGCGGAGCTCACACAAAGCCTCCGGGAACGACCACAGACCATCCTCCATACAGGTCAGAGTGTTATTAGTGCCTTCAGATGAGCGACAGACAGAATAAATCAAATAAACACACATGAATACATATATGTTTTAGGTCAGTAAAACTGACTGACTGATTGATTAATTGATTGATTGATTGATTGAATTATTAAAATAATAACAGTCATATTAATACTTTTATTCAGCAAGGATACATTAAATTGATCAAAAGTGACAGTAAAGACATTTATAATGTTACAAAACTTTTCTGTTTTAAATAAATGCTGTTGTACTTTGTATTTATCAAAGAATCCTAAAAAATTTAATATATAACAGTTTCCACAAAAATATGAAGCAGCACAACCGTTTTCAACATTGATAATACTCTGCAATATTTATTGAGCAGCAAATCAGCATATGATTTCTGAAGGATCATGTGACACTGAAGACTTAAGTAATTATGCTGAAAATTCAGCTATGATCACAGGAATAAATTACATTTTAAAAATATATTCACATAGAGAACAATTATTTTATTTGTAATTTTTTTTTTTTACAATATTACAGTACTTTTACTGTATAGATCAAATAAATGCAGCCTTCGTAAGAATAAGAGACTTCTTTCAAAAACATTGTTTAACTAAACAATAGTGTATATGTGTGTGTATAACACAAAGTGATATTCTTCCTCACTATGTTTGTCTTGTTTTCCAGTACAAATATCTAAACATTCTTAAAACAAGATACATTTATTTGGGAAGCAAAGTGGCACAAGACATGAAGTCTTGCTTTCTCAAAAATGCTTAAATTAAGTGTGTTTAAGTTTTCTTAAAACAAGAAGAAAAAAAATCTGCCAATTTTTATTTATTTATTTATTCTGGAAAACAAGAGAAAAAATACTACTGAGAAAATCACTTGTGTATAAATAATTTAATATATAATTGTATATAAAGTGTATATATAATTAAACATTACACAATTACAAAGTATTTAGTGACTGCCATGACATTGCTTCTTATAAAACATACAGAAATTCCAATGCATTTGATTAATCAGTATTAGCTGAGAATAGTTTTAACCATATTGTGAAGAACTAAAGTGTGTTATAAAATGAATAGCTCCTCTAAATTCTGATTGGATGAGTCACTTATCAATCCACTGAAACATACATGTGACTGCAATATGACTGAATTCCATGTTAATGTGCTATGTTGCAACTGCAAACAGCTGCAAATCACAAATTACCTGGCGTAATTTCCCAAGTAATGATCAGAATGTTTATTTTGATCATTACAATATGAGCTGCTGTATTAAGTTGTATCTTTTATTTAGTTATCATCATTGCAACAAGCATTGTATACTACGTGCTGGATCCTCAGAGTACTGAGAAAGAAAATCTACCATGACCCTAGATGACCTATTTTACTAAGTAATCTTATTGTTCTCTTCACTGCCTCAAAGTCCAGTCACACTGAGTTTTTCCAGGGTTTCTCACCCACAAGCTGAGCAGGCTCCTTGCACTGGAACGTGCTCTTCTTGCCGTAGGTGGTGCCTTCTGGGAAATCAAAGTGGGCAGGGTGCACATGATACTTATCTGGAAGCCCACAGTCAACCGGCTCACACGATACTTGCTTGTTCCATTTCCTATCAGCACAGGTGATGGTCACGGTTGAGTCCGTCTACAGAGAAAAGACATCAGATTTTCAGTGAGTTCAATGCAGTTCAAAATGGCCTGCTGACCACAAAGTACACAAAGCTGATATCACAGTAAAGGACACATCTGTTCCTCTCACAGGCCTGAAAACGTGAAGACCTGTTCAAAGCAGAAACTTTAATGATGTACAGTAGCATAGTCCTATTAGAATTAAAAATGTTTTCATGCATATTTTAGGTACATTTTACATTTATGGATATTTGTGTAAATGTGGCATATGGTTATACTGAGAAAAAAAAAGGAAAATGTACTGATAATTTTCTGCCAGGGCACTATCCATTAATTTTCTCTTACGAAAATACGGAAATTAGGGATTAAGCCCCGAAGGGGCTGCAGCCCCTATTGTCTTTGCATGTTTTCTTTATTATGATTCCTCCCCAATGAGAGTCAATGGCAGCCCTATAAAGGGAACACAGGAAAATGATGAAATCTGGCACACTTGTAGTGATGGTCATGAATAGTGATCTGATCAACTTTGGGGTCTCTAGGACCAACTCTATAGCATCACCACCAGTTAAAAAATTCACTTTTCAAGAGGTTATCACTTTTGAACCCTGTGTTCTAAAAAAATTAAATTTAGTTAATCTGATTACTCTCCTCATGCTGATCACATTCAATAGTGTAGTGGCCATTTTGAAAAGTACAGGTTTCCGTTTTTTTTTTTCACTATTACTTCTTCAAATTTTGTCCAATTCTTCTATAAAATTGGCAGAGATCATCTTTGGACTGAGCCGCACCAAAATGACTAAACAGAATTTTGATATTCATCTTTGTTTAAAAGTTATGATGTTGTGAACTTAACGATGTTGACCCAAAATTGGTTCAAAGGCTGTATCTCGGCCAAACTTTGATCAGTTGAAACAAAACTTGGTACATGTCAAGTACTCCAATCAAGATTTCACCTACGGCATCAATTTTTTTATATACATTTTGTGTTCATTCTCACTTGTACTACTGAACTTCGACATCTGGATGAACACCTCTCTTCTCAGTGGTGCAACAAGATGAGTGACAGGCACTTGGTCTGGAGATTGTGGGTTTGATTCCTGTGTGGTTTAACTTTATAAAATACAGTGTAATGTTGTACTTATATAATAAGTGTGTTTTTGTTCATTGTGCATTCATTTTTATTTGAACTCCCATTAATTTTGAGTTCATTCTGACTATACTTCTGAACCAGCTCATTATCACACTGAAAGCTCTCCTCAGCAGACTGGTAAATGTGCATCATCAAGTAGCTCAATATGGAAAGCCAGAGGCCTGATGTGCACCTTACCCAAAAATCATGGTTTTGAATCTTGGGTGGAGAGATTTTATGAAATTGTGTGTAATGGTGTGTTGTTTTCAATCCTTTATTATTCGGGTCGGCATTTTACTAATCTTTATACATCTTGGATTAGAAATAAATGTATATTTATTCATGCTATGTTCATTTTAATTTGAACTTCTGTTAATTCTGAGTTCATTCTCACCCATAAGTCTGAGCCAAATTCCATGGTTAAACTATGGTTAGTGTATTAAAACTATCAGCTGAATGTTTGAAACAACTTCCTTTTGTGATCTGATGTGGCTTCTTATCACAGAATGAGGCAGAAAATATATTCTATACTGTAAAAAAGGCTATGTCGATTAGCAATGGATTACAAATATACTTCATTATTATGAAAATACCCGAGATGGCTTGAAGAACACAGATACACTATACATTGTCACAGTTCAGTGTTTATTGTTTTCATGTTTCATCGTTCAAAACGTTTCTATCTTTTAATTCAGCTACAGCGATAGCTTGAAAACTTATCCATTTGAGATTTCCTGGAGCATCATGAGTTAGGCTGGCTACCAGTATGAATAAAACAGACATTACATGTGTTTATAGAACACAATAATGGCCAATCCATAAAAATAACACTTCTCTCAAAAGAAATTTGAAGTAGACATATGATAGTTATGTATTGAACCATGGGCTAACTGTATTGTTGCATCCCTAGTGTTTACTCTAAAATACTGTATAACAGGAATAGCACAAATATTTTTATGACTGAGAGCAGACCTGCTAACCTTTGGAAAATATTTAACATTAAATCTTGCATTTTGCATGTTGTGCAATCACGATTTTGACATTAGCCATCAAGGAACTTCGGGTAATAATGTAGCTATCTAGGAATATAAAATTGCATATGTTTGGGCCTCTGAATAAATCTGAGCTGTTTTATTCTTTCATGAGTGCGAGCTCCATATTTTCACTACATCATACTACATGAGCCATAAAAGCCTGATGTATCAAATATGACGCGAATATGATGTATCATACATGATATCAAACATTTACATTTTGTCTAAAAGTTAACAATGTTGACCCAAAATTGTTTCAAAGATTGTATCTCGGCCAAATGTTGATCAATTGAAACAAATCTTGGAACGCTTCATCAGCACCATGATCTTAGAGTACATGCCATAGTTGGCAACAGTACCACCTATGGGTCATGAGATACCAAAAATAGATTTTTTTTTTCTTATAACTTTTGAACAGTTAAAATGATGACCTTGATTTCTATGGATTCCTTGGGCAATGTTGAATTGGGCGATACCAATTTTGCCAGCATCTGATCATCCACCATTTTGAAATGTGTCATAAATTGCAATATCTTTTGAACAATTTGACATATTGGCACAAAAATTGGTAGCCACCATCTACAGCATGTCCCGGCGGTACCCGACACATTGTCACTTAGGTGTTCCAGAGATATAAGAAGTTTTGCAAAAACGCTTATAACTTTTGAAAGCATTGTCCAAATTGTATTCTCTTTGTCAATATGATTTATGCCAATTCTGATGATATCTCATTTTTCATTTTCCATCATTTTGTTCGTCTGCCATTTTGAAGTAAATGAAGAACTGTTTTTTCACTACTCCTCCTACAAAATGTGTCCAATTTTGTCCAAATTGCGATCAGATGATCTTTGGACTGAGCCGCACAGAAATAACTGAAGGAATTTTTTTATATTTGCTTCCATTCCCAAGAAATACAACATCAAAGTCGACTGTGTCTGCATTTGTTGAATTATGCTAGTTAGCTTAGCATGCAAACTGGTTACCATGCTAATTGGTTGCCATTCTTTCCAATGTGGCTCTTCAGATATCAGTTTAACCATAAGCTATATTAGCATTTAGTAAGCGTAGCATGCTAATCTGGTCAACATGTTAAGTAATGCTTTCATGTACTCGTTTTCATGTACTCATTGGTTTTGAATCCTGTATTACACATAACATGCAGTGCTTTTATATGCAAAATCTATTTGTAGTATAGATTTAGTATTTGTGATGCACATTGTAAAGCTTTTGACTGTTAAGTGTGATGTGCTTTGATGCGTTTGCTGGGGTTGTTATGCTTGCTGTACTTACAGAGCTATCGCTGTAGCTGAATTAAAAGATAGAAACGTCTTGAACGATGACACATGAAAACAATAAACACGCAATTGCGACAATGTATAGTTGATCTGTGTTCTTCAAGCCATCTCAGGTATTTTCATAATAATTAAGTATATTTGTAATCCATTGCGAAGTGACATAGCCTTTTTTACAGTATAGAATATATTTTCTGCCTCATTCTGTGATAAGAAGCCACATCAGATCACAAAAGGAAGTTGTTTCAAACATTCAGCTGATAGTTTTACTACAGTTTTTGCTGTCGTAAAACTGTGAACGCTTGCCACTGATGTCAGTATTGGCTGATGTGCTTCACATGATCCAAGTTAGCCGTTACACTTTTTCCAATGGTAAGTACTGTAGATTTTCGCATCTCCCAATGCAAAACATACATCCAATATTGTGGATGACCTGAGACAAAATAAAATATGGCAAAAATCATTTTGATTAGGTGCACCAAGAGAAACCTATAGGAAAACATAAAATATAAGATTTCTAAATGGGAAACTCGTTAGGTCATGTGTACACTAACAACAATTTTTTATTTTTTTTTAATTGGAGTATTGGAGTACATTTTACAAGAAAAAGCTATTTCAGTCTTTTTACTTCAAAATTTAGATTTTAATTCAATGTGTTACTTGACATTTCTCTGCAATTATTTGAGAGATTTACTAGCAATTTCTAAATGAAAACTGATTGAAAGTTCACACCATTTTTAAATAAACCACACAATTTGAGGTACACAAGGATGCAGGTTGGGTTGTACACCGAAATTTTATTCTTAAGATTTGGGTTTGTTTGACTTGCCAAACATCTGCATGTGACAATATTTTCTGAATCTGCAAAAGCTCTCAAGTCCACAAAAATGGATAGGGATCTCTGACATTTAATCACATAAACCAAATCAGATAGCTACAACATTTATGCAATTTAGAAATATATTCATCATTACTTGCAAATATTGTTTTGTCCTATAACAGAACTTATACTTCATCATGAAGCATTTGGTTGAGTTGATAAAGGAGGACTATAACACTAGATACACACGTTATTGATAATCTCAGGCAGATATTCTTTCTCTCTCATATACTTCAGCCTTTTCTTTGACTATTTGATACACCACAACAATATCTTCTTACCCAACCATTACACACTTTCATATTTCTCTGTACAAAACATATGCTTTCCACATGCTAAACTCAATCAATATGTTTAGAATATCTGCACAGAATTCCCGAAAGTGACTGAACTAAGAGTGAGGGCTGAATTACAATACATTATCACATCAGACAAGGTCATTTATACTCTTGTGAAGAGCACACGGGTATATGCAGGTAACTGCTGACCTACAGGCACGCATGCATCAGAGCGAAGCTGAATACAACTCAACAATGGAAAAAAACAAAACAAAACAAAAAAATTTTTTTTTTTATAAAGATGACATAATATCCTGCCCTTTGTGAAGTAAGGTTGAATCATGCAAGAAACATCCTGTGCTCAGTATCTGTTAAAATACAATTAAATTCAAAACATCTGTAT